TCCTTATGACCATGATAATGACAATGTGAACATATTGTCATTATTGAACTAGATGAATTATTTAAAATGATATATTTTTCTTTTGTTAAACATTCAAGCTTAACTTTCAAATCGAAATTTTCTTTTTCAGTACTTTCAAATTTCATTTTTGAAAGCTCTAAATCGTTCTTCAAGATTTCATTTTGATTTTCAAATCCATTTTCGTTTCTAGAATTTTGTTTAATTTGAAATTTCTTTTTCAAAGTTTTCAGATTTTATTTTTGAAAGCTTTAACTCCTTTCTCAATATTTCATTTTGATTTTCCAAGTCTGTTTTAGCTTTCAAAAGAAGATCATTTTTAGCAATAAATTTAGAAATCAATTTATTGTATTTGGATTTCATGGTCTCAAACTCCGAAAATAATTCATCATAAGCATCTTGTTACTCATTAAAAGATTTTGAATTTAGTCTATTTGAGTTAGAAGATACCTTTGGCTCTGTGAGAGCTAATAGAGACATCACATTTACTGGTTCTTCTTTTTTCTTGTCTCTATAGATCTCCTCAAGCTTATCCCACATCTCCTTGGCATTTGAACAAGAAGAAACTCCTTTATATACATTAGGATCAATTGCACAACACAATATGTGCATAGCTTTTGTATTTTCTTGAGCTTTCTTCCGTTCTTGATCACTCCACTTATTTGCCTTCTTTGTAGGAGAAGAATATCATTTCTTGATCATCATCCAAGCTTCCATATCAAATGCTTGGATAAATATCATCATAAGCTTATTCCAACGACGATAATTTGTTCCATTGAAGTGTGAAGGCACGTCAATTGGTCTGGATTCTTCCATGGAGAATGAACCGAATGTGGACGCCATCTTTATCAATTTAACTCTTCCCGGATCTACTCAAGAGGTGGTTAAACCTTCAAATGAGTCAAGCTCTGATACCAATTGTTGAGTTAATCAAATCGATGGAATTGGCCAAGAAGGGGGTGAATAGGTAATAAAAATTTTGGTGGAAGCTTTTGCAGAAAATTGAAAATATTTGCACAACGATTTAGAGTGGTTCGACTTTCTCAATCAAAGTCTACATCCACTGCCTTAGTTATCCACACTAAGGATTTTCCAACAAATTCACTAATTTGTTCTTTCTTTTGATGACAAAGAGTAACCTTACAACTCCCTCAATAATTATACCTCAAATTCTTGAGCACACTCTTTTTCAAAGAGAAATACACAAATTTGCAAACTTACAAGGAAAACCTCACAAGGTAGATTGTTTACACAATTATAGAACAAAGAAAGAACAATCAAGGATAAATACAATATAGCACAAATGGTGTTCTTGAAAGCACAATGAATATTGAATGAAAAATAGGCTTGAAGTGCTCAAACAATGAGTTTGATGCTTTCTCTTTGATTCTCTCTCAATTCTTGATGATTGTTGTTTCTTGTTTTCGATCAATGGTTTCTAAGCTTGTTTAAATACTCCTTCAATTGATTCTGAATGTTGGGGATGATTAGTAGAGTCAATAGAGCCGTTTTAGTGTGAAATCAATTAATAAAATAGTTTGGAGCATGGGGGGAATCGGTACCCCTGCATGGGGAATCGGTTCCCTAAGTGTAAAATTCAAATATTTCGACCGTTAAATAGGGGGAATCGGTACCCTCTTGGGGGGAGTCGGTTCCCTCCGAGCATTCTGTTTTTCTCAGAGCCAAACCATTCAGGGGGGAATCGGTACCCCCTTGGGGGGAATCAGTTCCCTCTGAGCAATCTGAAATTTCGTCTTTGAAACGGTTCGAAATACTTTGTAAAATTGTTTTGAAATTATTTTAAGATTAAAACTTAATTTTACACTTGAGTAAGGATTAAAAATGACATTTGAAAGATTTGGAGTAATATTTTGATATTCGAATAATTATATCGAATATACTCAGAAAAGCTTTTGGAAAATCTTAAAATCCATTTAACTTAATTTTTATATCCAAATATCAAAATGTTTTCAACAAAAGCCCATGTGGAGAAAAATAATTTTTCTCACGTAAGCGTAGCGTTTACCATTACCTAATGGGATATAGCACAGTTAGAAGGCTCTAACTATCTCAAACAGTTGTAATGTGTAAGGGGAAACTTACAATCCTTTGCCTTGATCCCAGTATAATTAACCTAAAACACGGTTAGCAATCTGAAACAGAAAACTAATCAAATTAGTATAACTAAATAATAATCAAAATTTAAATATCATTCGTATTTTCCATATTTAACTAACAAGATGACATATAATCAATTATAGATTGACTCTCTAAAAAAAATGTCCCCAACAGAGTCGCCAAGCTGTCGAAACGGTCCTTACCGGGCTTTTTTCCGGGAATCAGTCCGACTAAAATATTGGGGAACATGTCAGATTTTAAATACAAACTTGGAGTCACCAATCAACTCTTTGGGTTTGGTAAGTCGAATACCTAAAAAAATATCTTTTAAAATAATTTTTAGAAAATAATTTTAAAAGATAAAAATTTGATCTGCGATTGACCAGAGATTCACTTTGAAAAGGGTTCGGGAGTCGGTTACGTGTGGGGAAGGACTAGCACCCCCACAACACCCAAAATTGGTACTTGTGATTATACATCATCTTAAAAGTGGCAAATTCAAGTAATATTTAAATCATGACAAAAAGGAAAATGAATTATTATTTTATACGAATAATCCTTAAAAATATCTTCCTAGCAAGTTAAGGAGATATTTTTATAATTTAATCGAATAAAATAACATAAAAAACATTATAATTACAATAATTGATAAATATATAAATACTAAATTAAAATAATAAATATGTTAAATTTAGTGATTAAATTACATAATATTAAGGCCATAACTGCAAATATCTTATATTTTAGACACTTTTAACGTAAAAAAAAATAATAATAAAACAAATTAAAAATATTAGAATCATGGATTAAATTATAAAGTAGTGAAATTAATGGCTACAATTCGAAACATCACAAAAAATAGGTATTGGAATCATAATTTAACCTTAATTACTATTCGGGTTTAAAATATAAATTATTAAAATTATAGGGACTAAATCAATATTTACCCTAAATATAAATATAAATAAGGAAAGCGACGTAAAAGAAATAAAATAAAATGCAAAGACCAAATTGAAATGCACAGAAACATAATTTCAGTGACTAAAATATAAAAATAAAAAGTACATGGACCATTGACATGATTTTCACATACGCAAAATCACGCAAATACCCTCTCTGAGACGACGTAGTTTTGAATTGGGTATAAATATGCATTAAACCGGCCTAAAAGACCATTCTTTTCATTTTCTCAAATTTACTTCTCTCTCTAAGAGGAGAGAAGCTCTAACTTCTCTCTAACTCCCTCACCGGAGGGAGAACCAACCACCAGCCGACCACCGTACACCGATGTCGACAAGAATTCGAGAAAACACACCAAATTGAAGCTCTCACCGTCCTATACCCAAATCTGGCCTCCCATTCTCTTAAAATCCCACTATATGTAGTAGATCTAGGTTTTTACCTTCGATTTTTTGGTGGTTCGACGACGGTTTGGAGGTCTCAACGAGGGTATGTTTCTTCTTTCTTTTGTTTTATTTATTTCTACTGTTCTGTATTGCTGGTTGTTCGAATGTTAATTTCCCTCACTGTTTGCTGCCTCTGTCTTTTTCGTATATGGCTCTATTTGAATATATCTCCTCCTTTTTGTTTCATTTTTTTCCTTGCTCTCTTCCTTCTTCCTGTCCGTTCTTCTTCTCTTGTAGGTAAGGGTTTATATAGCCCTTGGAGCGCCATTCATAATGATGAACCCTCTCGGTGAGTCACTGGATCTACGATGGTGACTCACTATAGGGCAATGAGGTGTGCGGTTGATTTGCTAGGTGCATTAAATACACCCAGATCTTCTGGATTCATCTAGTGAGGCGATGATGGCGTGCCAACGACTGACTGGAGCACCTGGAGGCAGCGACCAAAATAACCCTAGGGTTGTAATAAAACCCTAGGGTTTCGGCTAGATGAATATGGGTCCTCCATTTCCCTTTTGATCGGACGATGATAATTGCTAGCGGCTGGAGTTGAGATGTAAAAAACCCTAATTGAGTTTGGGTTTGAATTTAGGCCTGGACTGGTTCTAGGTTTGGACCGAGTTTTGGATCTACTGGACTTCTCGGGTCTGGGCCTCCGGTTTGTCTTCTCGGGTCTGGACCTCCATTTTATCTTCGGGTTTGGGCCTCCGGGTTCTTGTAAATGGGCTTTGGGTTTGTAACAATTTAATAATAATAATAATAATAAATATAATATTTATATTTTAAAATACATAAACTCGGATGAAAATGAATGTCGACAACACCTATCCAAGCAATAAAACACAAGAGAAGAGTTTTTCACTCTTTATTTCTATTCTCTTGTAAATATTTGTGTTTTTGTGAGCTTTAATTTGTAAATACCTTCCTTTTTAGATGTTTCTTTGTTTACTTTCTCATTCCTTTTGAAAAGGGGTTTTGGTTCTAGCTAAGCCTTTGAATAGCTAGGGAGATTGCAAAGGCTATATCTTTGTCCTTGAAAAGAAAGAACAAATTAGTGGATTTGTTGGAAAATCCTAAGTGATGAACTCAGGTAGTGGATATAGACTTTGGTTGAGAAAGTCGAACCACTATAAATATGCGTGCATCATTTTTCTATCACTTTAAATCTCCTTACTCTCTAAAATTATCAAAAAGTCAGTTCACCCCTCTTGGTAAACTTTTTCAGTTGTCAATTTGAGCTTTATCGTAAGTCCCAACACAAGTGATTGTATTGAAACTAATTAAATAACTATATAGTCATATTAATAAAATTTTGAAAACATTAGTCATCGAAATCAACCCCTTAAATCGGCAGTCATTCAAGTAATTTACCAAAAAAAAGTTCTTTATTTGAGCTTGTCTCTCTCTATAAAAAGAGTGAGTGAGCCATTGAATCTGTCTCTTGTTAAAAGGCAATAGCTGTGCTTTAGCTGGTGTCAATAGTCTCTTCCATTTTCCTTGATCATTTTATAAATTTTCTTCCGTCTCTCCGAGTATTGTCTCCTTGTTCTTTTACTTTCTCCGACAAAAACATGGGTTCCAACGATTCCGAACTTCTTGTCGATCTATTCCCGTGGCTCAAAGAATACAAAGATGGAACCATCGAAAGAACAGCAGGATTCGAAGTGGTTCCCCCGGGGCTTGATCCCGAAACCAACGTGTTATCCAAAGATATCGTCATCATACCTGAATCCGACGTCTCAGCTAGAATTTACCGGCCAATCTTCGTCCCCAACGATCAAAAGCTACCCCTTGCAGTTTATTATCACGGCGGAGCTTTTTGTGTTGCTTCGCCAGCGTCCCCAAACTACCATACCAGCCTCAACATGCTCGTTGCCGAGGCCAACATTGTCGTTGTTTCGGTCGGCTATAGGCTAGCCCCCGAGCACCCTCTTCCTACAGCATATGAAGATTCATGGGCATCACTTCAATGGGTGGCTTCTCACAAGGAAGAAGAAGATGGCAACAATGAAACCTGGATCAAGGATTATGTGGACCTTGACCAGGTTTATTTGGTTGGTGATAGTGCTGGTGCAAACATTGCACACCACTTGGCTCTCCGGATCAAGGATTCGGATCTGAGTCAGAAGTTGAAGATTGTGGGCATTGGGATGATCCACTCTTACTTCTGGGGAACCGATCCGATTGGATCTGAGGTTACCGATCGGGTTCGGAAAGAGCTAGTCGATAAGTGGTGGCTATACGTTTGTCCTTCCGATAAAGGGTGTGATGATCCGCTCATCAATCCGTTTGCAGATGGATCCCCGGATCTTGCAGGGTTGGCATGCCATAGAATCCTTGTTATTGTTGCAGAGAAGGATATATTGAAGGACAGGGGGAGGTTTTATTACGATAAATTGGTGAAATCTGAGTGGAAAGGAAAAGCGGAGATTATGGAGACTGAAGGTGAGGGTCATGTGTTCTATATCTTTAACCCTGAATCCGACAAGGCCAAGAGCTTGTTCAAACGCTTGGCTGCTTTCTTGAACCAAGGCAAGTGAAAAATGTGGGGTTTGACTTGTCTTCTAGTAATAAAATAAGATCAGCCGAGCTTTGAGATATACCCATCACTTGATTCTCGTTCCAAAGTATTCTGTCCATTTTTCTTACATCCCTTTGTTTACTTTGTGCAATGCGATTCTACATTTTCTCTTTCGTTTCTTGTAAAGATTGGATCAATTCAGAATATCTAACTACACTTGTGATCTCAGCAAATTAAAACTTCAAAGGTCAAATTAATCCACTTGAATCATTGAATTTTTTAAAGTTAATTTGAATAAATATTTTAAGTTAAATAGTTTGATTTTTAAAATTTCAATGGTCAAATTAAACCATTTGAGTTAGTTAGCCTTTTGTGTAAATAGTTTAAGTTAAATATTTTGTATATTTGTCAACTCTAATCTATTAATTAATTAACACATGAAATAACATTATAAAACTTTAGAACGAGCCTCAAATTCAACCTGTTATATCTTTTGATTTAGAAAACTTTCACTAAAGAATTGTACATTTCAAGTTATATTAGTGATTTGTGATTTCAGCAGTACAGATAAATTTTTATAAGGCCCCATCCTCGTCATTTTCAAAGTGCCTGTTGAGCAACCCAGACAAAAGGCACTTGTTAAGCCTGCCCTTCTTTCGTGCAAGGTTTTTTTTAGCAAACTGCACTTCAAACTTAAAATCTCAAAATACGATGCAACTATTCTGAAAAACAAGATCCATTATGTGTAGGGCTCGACCCTAACATCAATCATTCCTTTGTCTATTCTAATATGACAAATTCAAATCTCTATATCTATAATCCTCTATCCTTGTACCAATTTGCGATTTGACCTCTTTAATAACAAGCAGAATCTCAAAACACCTCGTTTTGAAAATCGGACCGGACCGGTCGGTTCAACCAGGAACCGTTGCCTAGTCCGGTTCAATCTAAACCGGTTGAACCGCTACTAGTGAACCGACCAGAACCGCTGAACCGTTCGAACCGGACCGGCTGAAAACCGGAAAAAACCGGAAATTTTATTTTTTTTTAAAAAAAAATTAAACCAAACGTCGTTTGTTAAACGAGCCAAGTCGAACTCGAGTATTGCTGAGCTCGACTCGAACTTGAAAACTTTAAAAGTAAGCTCAACTCCACTCAAACTCACAAGTTAAAAATTATCAAGTTCAACTCGAACTCGAAATATAATATTGAAACTTGAACTCAAAAAGGCATGAACTAAAAAAAAATTTAGAAGCTCAATTGAAGCCTAAAATTCGAGCTTGATTGAAGTGAAAGAATAGTTCACTCAATGCTCACCAAAATGCTCCATGATTTTGAATGCCAAATTACCTCTATTATTTATAGAAGTTAGTTGTGATGCTCTTCTATGTTTCTTAGCAATGTGAGATTGTTTTGTTCTCATATTTTTACTCTTTAGACTTTTAGGATGATCTTCTATATTTCTTAGCCATGTGGGATTGTTTTTAAAAAAATATTAAACCAAACAATATCATTTTGTTATGATTTTTTAGCCCCAAATTTATTTTTTAATTATAGTTATATAATTATATTTATTATTTAATATGTTTTACCTTAAATATTATGTTGTAGTTAATTTGAATCATTTTGTTTCACTTGATTTTATGGTTTTTAATTTATATATGTTATGACTTGCTTTGAATATGACTTGTGATATAAAAAATTATTTTTTATTAAATATTTTTGGTATTTTTATTTAATTTTTTAAATAATTATGACGTCGTCCGGTTCTTCCGACCGGTCTAACCGGTTGAACCAGTGAACCGGTAGCATGATCGGTTCCCTAACCGGTCCGGTTCTGAAAACCATGCAAAACACTGAATATAGGACAACATAAACAAGCTAAACTGCAAATTGAAAAATCTCAAACTATAATAATAAAATCTACCAACGAGCTAATCTTTTGGATAAAGGCGAGACACCCATAAGATATTTCAAAGGGTCAAGTTTTGGAGATCAAACAAGTGGTATGATACACATATATTGCTTGAGCCTTCGAGTAGCCCAAACCAAAGCACAACATAACTTTTCGATCGGTGAATACCTTACCTCGCAATCAATGGACTTTTTATTGAGATAATAAATTACTCTCTCTTTCTTCTCAGTACGGTCATGCTGCCCTAATACACACCCCATGGAGTTCTCAAAGACTGACAAGTAGAGAATTAAGGGTTTGCCTGAGACAAGTGGCACTAAGACTAGGGCATTTGATAAATATCTCTTGATTGCTTCAAAAGCATCATGGCAATCATCACTCCATACTCCTGAGTTATTATTGCGAAGAAGGAGAAAATGGGATTACATTTCTCAGTCAATTGTGAGATGAACCGAGCAATATAGTTTAGCCTCCCTAGAAATCCTCGAGCTTCTTTTTGTGTTTGTAGAGGTGGAAAATTTTGAATGGCTTTAACTTTGTTAGAATCTATTTCAATCCCGTTTTTACTCACTACAAACCCCAAGAGCTTTCCAAATATTACCCCAAAGGTACACTTATTTGGGTTGAGTTTCAGTTGGTATTTCATTAACCTCTGGAAGAGTTTCCTCAAATTTTCAACATGTTCTTCCTCTGTCTTGGCCTAGACAATCATATCATCGACATAAACTTCTATTACTTTATGCATCATGTCATGAAATAATGTTACCATGGCTCTCTAGTACGTTGCCCTTGCATTATTCAGCCCAAATGGCATCACCTTGTAGGAAAATGTGCCCCACATGGTGACAAACGTATTTTTTTCCATATTCACAGGATGCATCTTTATTTGATTGTAACTAGATAATCCATCCATGAACGAGAATAGGGAATTTTCAGTAGTATTGTCCATCAAGGTGTCTATGTGTGGCAAAGAAAAATCATTCTTTGGCTAGCTCTATTGAGATCTTTGTAGTCAACGCACATGTGAACCTTCCCATCCTTGTTTGGTATTGGGTTGATATTTTCCACCCAATCAGGGTATTTGGCCACCTTAAGTAAACCAACATCTAATTGCTTCTTCACTTTTTTTTTTTAATTTTTAGCAGCAGCTCGAGTCTCATCCTTCTAAGCTTTTGTTACACATATATACACTCTAGCTTTATCGGTAATTTGTGTACCACCAATTCAGTATCTAAACCCGATATGTCTTCATATGACCAAGCAAATACATCTTTGTACTCTCGAAGTAGTTCTATCAGACTCTGATGTTCCTCGACAGATAAGGTGGTGCTAATCTTTTTATCTTTCCTATCTTCATGTGATCCCATATTCAAAGTTTAGAAGGTAAGTCACATTCATCATCATTATCACAATCCTTGATTTCCCCCTGACATATGGGCAGCTAGAAATCAATATTTGGGTCAGTGTCATCGACATTCATGATATCTGATGTCCTGAAAGAAAAATGAACAAGAAGATATATATACATATACACATATATGAGAATATATCCCATATAAGGATAAATGAAGGAAACAATATATAAATAATAAAAAAAATGAAGAAACGCATGGGATAATGTTTGCCACTTTGTGAATTAATATAAATGCATATTTCATTGAAAATTAAAAACATATATATTAACCCTTTACATAAGATCACCTATTACCCCATGTTTAGACAATAAGGAAAGTTTTCGTGTATTATTCTGAAACATATTTGTAAATTATAGGTAACTCCACTACAGTCCAATTATTTAACATAAGCATGGTAATGTGGGACAGATTCTTACATCCATTCCTTTCTCAGCCTCATCATCTAGTATTACATTAATGCTTAGATCTTTTAATGTATCCTCGACGATGGGTTTCTTAACTTGCTAACTGCCCTGGAACATATGACCTCCAGACACAAAGGTATCATGCAACAGTGGAAAAGTCATTAACTCTCAATTGAAATCCTCTCTAACTAACCTCACTATTCTCTCTCTTGGCTTTTTTGGATTCCCTTCAATTTCCCCCGAGGTTGGTTGATATCCAAAGCCAAAGTGATCTCATTTGGTGGTGGGGAAAATGGGATTGACAGGTCCCTGTATGTGGCTCTCTAGCCCTTTTCTAGCCTTGGCTCCCATTCCCAGAGTTAGCTTGAGTTCCATTCGGGTGCAGTTGGACAGTCTAGGTTTGGGCAACATCTTTGTTCCCTCATCCATAAATGTTGCATTGACAAACTCCAGGGATTTGAAGGAACACTCCACAACTTTATCATATATTTCAACATAACGGGTAGTAGTGGAAACAAAAGCAATAATGTCTTCCTCAGCGTTAATGTATACCAACCTCTCCTCAATCACAAACTTTAACTTTTTGTGTAGTGTAGATGGAACTGCCTCTGCCTGGTGAATCCAAGGTATTATCAGTAAAAAAATTGTAAGTAGGCATGATATCCAGTACAAGGAACTACACCTCATAAGTAGTTGGTCCAATAGTTATGGATGTCAATCTTCCCTAGCACTTATCTATTCATTTCATCAAATACTTGAATGGCACTCTAGCAGTTCCTCATATGCTTACTGTTAACAGAAAACTTCTTCAGGTTTACCAATGGCATTATACTCAGAGCAGAGCCATATTTAACTAACACTAAGGATAAAACATGTCTTTTGCATCTGACGGTGATATGTAGAGCTTTGTGGATGCCAATCATCCCAGATGGGATCTCATAATCGAAAAATGAGATAAAGTTGTCAGCTTGGATATTCACAACCAATCTATCTAACTTATCCACTGGTAAATCCTTCAGCATGAAAATTGTGATTCAAGACTTTCAACAGAGCATCTCGGTGTGCCTCAGAGCTCAATAGAAGAGCAAGTGCCAATATGCGACCATGTAGCTTGTTCAGCTGTCCAGCAATGCTATATTCACTATGTTTCAAAAATTTTAGAAATTCCACAGCTTGTTCTCGGTCACTGGTTTGTTGATGGTTGACTCATCCTCTTTTAACAACAAGTCAACCTTTTTTCATTTTTCATTAGTAGATATCTTCTCAGGCTCTTTGGGCTGATTGGAAGAGTAACATCTCCCACTCCTGCTGAAATGGCCAACTTTACCCACTTTTTCATTCTCTTTTGCTACCACTTCCATCTTGCACTCGTATTTCCATGGGACTTGCTTATTGCCCTTGTAAGGGAATGGAGATGGGGGTGTAATGACCACCTT